ACACGCACACACTCGCGCACGCACATGCACACACACACACTCACACACACACGCACACGCACACACACACACACACACACACACTGGTATTCCTATCATTATGGGGAGCATAATATCATAGGCATAATGGTTTTTATACTGTACAAACTGTGTTTTCTAGCCCCATCTTCTGGCTGATTTATAAGCCTTTTTATCTAGTGAGGACCAGTCAAATGTCTCTCTAGTGGGTTGTCAAATATATATAAGCTTATCTCTTCAAATAATCTGGACATTTATTTCCTGGATAAAATCAGGTGATCCAAGTCCTCTTTCTGAACTGGTTCCCCTGAGTATGAATGTTTTAAATACTCCCCATTTAACTGGCTCGTGACTGTTTTCAGAAATAAAGTACAGTGTCTCTTATCTCCCACGGCCACTTTCAGTAGTTTGGAGGTTCAGGAAATACACTTAAACTGTCCTCATGTTGTTTTACTTCTATTAATTTATCGCCCCCTTCATCTAGTAATTTTATACAGTAAATGAGTTTGCTGATCTTTTAGGGGATGTCTTGACTAGATATTATCATATTTTAATACTTGGTGATTTTAATATTCATGTATGCTGCTCTGCCAATGCCTTAGCTGAGGAATTTTTACATTTATTGTCTTCCATGGATGTTGTTCAGTGGATGAATGGTCCTACATACTCTCACGGTCATCCGCTTGATTTAATATTGACATATGGGCTGTCTGTAGCTGACATTGACATCTGTGATGTTCCACTTTCTGATCACAGATCTCTGCTCTACACTCCTTCCGGCTCCACCTAAAACCTTACGTATTCTGACCTCGCACTCCAAACATGTCTTCTCTGAACTGTATTTGGCGACTGAAAATCTGCTTATTTCTGATTCTGTTACATCACATCTAGATGTTGATGAGCAGATGCAATCTTTTACTTGCAAATGCTTTGACATTTTGGACCTTTTTGCACCTTGAAAGCTTGTCTATCCCCAAAACAAGTCTCAGCCTTGGATCAACAACGATATCCGATCATTACGACAGCAATGCAGACGGCTTGAAGTATCATTTGAAATGCTGAATGTTTCCCTACATAATTTCCAAAAGGCTGTTAGGACATCAATTTTAATCTGATATCGTTGTGAAAAACTCAAATTGTTCTAGAACACTCTTCTCGACTATTGATTCTGTCCTAAACCCTCCTCTTAAGACTTTATCTCCACTTTTGAGTGTGAAAATTTTCTTAACTTCTTTTCTGACAAAATCAAAACTACACAAGGCTAAGTTTTTACCTCGATACAGCCTGTACTTGATTCCTCCTTCTGTTCACAGTGGAGTGAATTTCAGAATTTGAAGGTGAATTTGAAACCTACTTTTTCTCCTCATGTCATTCTTCATTCCCGTTTTCTAAAACAGATTTTCGATACAGTCGATGTGGACATTCTACACATTATTAATAATTGTCTTTTGACTGGGACGGTTCCAGCCTGCTTGTGAAAACCCTCACTTGACACCACAATATATGCAAACTACTAGACCCATCTCTAATTTACCGTTCCTATCCAAAATTCTAAAAAAAAAAGCTGTTTTTATAGAGTTGCAGAATTACCTGCAAATCAATTATACACATTATTAATAATTGTCTTTTGACTGGGACGGTTCCAGCCTGCTTGTGAAAACCCTCACTTGACGCCACAATATATGCAAACTACTAGACCCATCTCTAATTTACCGTTCCTATCCAAAATTCTAAAAAAAAAGCTGTTTTTATAGAGTTGCAGAATTACCTGCAAATCAATTCAATCTCCGACATTTTTCAGTTCATCTTTAAAACCCTTCATAGCACGGAGTCTGCTCTTTTAAAAGTTTTCAAAGATATTTTATTGACCACAGACGCTGGTGATACCATGGCTTTAGTGCTGTTAGATTTGAGCTGAGCTTTTGACTTTGTGGATCACGGGATTCTTTTATCTCGACTTGAACGCTCGATCGGTATCTCAGGTACAGTTTTAAAATGCTTCCTATCTTTTCTGTCAAATAGAAGTTTTTCTTGGAGTTTCAGTGTCCATTCATCCTCGGTGGCTCAACTTACTTGTGGTGTACCCCAGGGATCGGTTTTAGCACCATTATTATTGTTGTTATATATGCTACTTCTGGGATCAATTATGTTCTTGACGTGCGTCTCGCGAGACCATATCACACCAATCTTACGTTCTTTGCATTGGCTGCCACTCATATATCGAAATGGCTACAAAATTCTGTTATTTGTTTACAAAGCTCTCAACGACTTGGCTCCTAAATATCTCTCCGATTTAATTGTTACTTAATTGTTTCGTACAGCACTTTGGCCAACTAAATTTGATTTTAAATGTGCTTTATAAATAAAACTGAATTTAATCGAAAATTTCACATTAGAAGTAAGGACATTTGGTCCACACAAGTATAGACAAAACAAATACACTCAAACACACACACACTTAAAATAAACTGAAAATAAAATTAAATATTTTTAAAAATTTATTTTTAGCTAGTTCCAAAGGCAAAATGTATATTTTCATCTGACATAAAATAATAAAACCTATGTAGACATGTTAAAAAAAACTAATAAAATGAAGAAAACTATGCAAAAAAACAAAAATATACTGAATGTTTAACAAAAATAAATAATATAAAAACAGAAAATATCTGTTCTCAGCTCCGGTGTTGTTTATGTCTCTCTGTAGAGATCGCAGACATGGGCGAGCGCATGTTTCGGGTTTTCACGGCGGGCCGCAGTGAGCGTGTGCGCTGTGATCCACCGCAGGGTCAGCCGGAGCCGCAGGTGTGGTGGGAGCGTGCGGGAGCTCGTGTGGCGTCTGAGGGTCGAGTCCATCAGCGGAACGGAGATCTGATCTTCAGCCCCACAGACGGATCAGACTCGGGCGTCTACACGTGTGTCGCCCGCAACACAGCCGGACAGAAGCAGCAGGAGCTCGTCGTCACTGTAGCCAGTGAGTGAAACACCAAACAAAACTAACTAAATAATTAACTAACTAGCCAACCTCCACACTGATCACAGATGACCCAGTGAGACAGCAGTCTTTAACCCTTCGTTTGCTGGAATGACTAATAAATCAGAAGCTGGTCTTTCATAAGATCTGGGATTTTTAGTAGGTTCACAAATATTAACCCTATAAGACTAACTTTTTTTAATGGAACAATTTATTAAACCTTTAGACAAATCTCCCAAAAATAGTGTTTTTTGTTGAGCATCATATTTGAGCCATCAGGCTTTTATGGTTCATATAGTCTGATAGAGTGAGAATATGGAGGAAAAACAGCTCAGTTTTATTCAAAAATATGAATTTGCTGCAGATGCTGATATTTATATGATGAAATTCTGATGCTTGTAATGTAAATCAATGAGATCTTTATAACACTAAAGCAGGTACTGACATAAAATGATATGAATATCAGTCATCTCTCTACATCTCCAGTAATCTGTCTCAGTAAGATGAGATTGAAACGATCCAAACATATAATGCAGTGATTGAGAGCTGAAGAAATAAAGGCTCCTCAGAAGATGTGAGATGTTCTGGAGGCTTGTGAAGATCATTCCTCCGCTGAGGAACAGTGAAAGTAAAGCTTCTGGAAACAAACGCTCCTCAAAAGATCCTGAGGATCAGATTTGAGACTCTAAAACATGATTGATGGAGAATCAAGTAAAGCTGAGCTGCTTCAGTCCAGTAAGTGTTCATCTGGAGATATTACTGCAGTTATTCTGACCTTTACTTGATCAAAATCAGTCAAGATTTGACACGAGAAGCATTTGTACAATTACACTAAAAGAGCTTTGACTGGATAAAACACTCTAAACTATCAACCAGAGACAGAAGACATGCAGGAGATCAAGTATGAAACAGGTTTAACAGCAAAGTTTGAGTATTTAGAGCTTTAGAAATGTGTGCGTCAAATATGTGTGATGTTTAGAGACATACTAGAATCTTTAAATGAAAACAGTGGAAGTTTATGAGAGAACCTCACTAATGTGTGTGTGTATGTGTATGTGTGTGTGTGTGTGTGTGTGTGTGTGTGTGTGTGTGTGTGTGTGTGTGTCACAGCCTCTCCAGAATGGATCGTTCAGCCGCAGGACACACGCGTCGAGGAGGGTCAGCCGGGTTTCCTGCACTGTCACGCACGGGGCACGCCTGAACCACGGGTCACATGGTACCGCAAGAGCGTCCCGATCAGTGAGGAGGTGAATGAGTGAATGAACGCAGTCGTCACGCCTCATCAGATCACACAGCGTCAGGTTTAACACACTCTCTGTCTGTAGGGCTCTCGTTATAAGCTCTTCTCTAACGGGACGCTGAGGATCAACAGCGCAGAGCTGAAGGACGCTCAGACGTACAGCTGTGTGTGTGTGACGGAGGGCGGATCGCTCATCGGACACGCGCAGGTTCTCATACTGGGTGAGAAGAACTGCTGCTTAGTTTCCATACACACATCGTCAAGATTAGCAGCAGCACTGAAGGCTGACAGCTTACTAAATAAAGTAATTAATAATGTTTTAATGAAAGTGCAGAGAGGTTTGTGTGAGAGCAGTGTTCTCTCCTGTATCGGTAGCCAATGAGCTCGCTGCTCAACATTCAAATATATGACTAGTGCTTGCTGTAGCAGTTGCAGCTTTCTTCAGAAACCCTCCACCTTCCCCAGCTCCACCTGTATAGATCTGCTACGAGGTGATTCATGTATGTTTTGTGGGGGGTTATTTCATGTATGTTATATGTGCAGCAGCAGTATTTCTTACATGCTCACAGCAGCATGTTGTGGATGTATTGGCAGGCAGCTATTATGCCTATTATTAGAACCTTGGCACAATTTTGTTTGAGTGAAAATAGTTGTTTTAGTATTTTTATTGTTTAGTAAAAGTCTTATTAAAGAAGTTACACTCTTAAAAATAAAGGTGCTTCACGATGCCATAGAAGAAACTTTGGTTACACTTTATTTCGATAGTCCAGTTTAGACATTCTATTAACTATAAGTAACTTTGTAACTATATGTCAACTAATTCTCATTAATTTGCAACTACATGTCTACTAACTCTCAGAGTAGACTGTTAGGGTAGGTTTAGGGTTAGTAGAATGTTGACAAAGAAAGTGTTAGAAGATATTAAGCAGACAGTCTACTAATACTCTACTAACTGCTAGTTGACATGTAGTTGTAAAGTTACTTACTGTTAATAGAATGTCTAAAGTGGACTGTCGAAATAAAGTGTTACCGACCAAATACATTAACATTGTCATGTACATTACCATGCCAATCCCTCCGAGAGTTGTCATGAAAGAAATATAGTTTTTTTTATCATTTATAGTTTAGTTATTTGTAATTTTATTATACATTTTATTTGTATTTTTTATAATAATTTTTATTTTTATAACTTATTTCAGTTAGTTGCCAAGGCTGCGTTTCTTATTTTCATTTAGTTTAACTAAAACTAAAACTGAAATTAAAACTATATTAAATAAAGTATGTTATTAATATATTATATTATAAAACAACTATATACTATATTATTAAAAAAACTAAAATATATTTACAAAAAAGCTAGTAAAAAAATGACAAGAACAGACAACAAAACTACTAGATTTACTCGTGTGTAGCGCTTTATACTGTACAATACTGATTGTGTCAAAGCAGCTTTACAGTGTCAAACAGGAAAATAGTTTGTAAATAATGTGCGTCTCTCAGAGAAGTTGAAGTTCACGCCCGTCCCGCAGCCGTCGCAGTGTCTGCAGCTGGACAGAGAGAGCGGCGTCAGCTGTGTTGCTGCAGGACGAGAGACGCCCATCATACACTGGAGCAGAGCAGGTCAGAGACATAAAATGGAATGTTACCTTAACTATCACATAACCAAGAAAAAACATTTAAACATACTTTTATTGTTAGCTGGGCAGCTCTGATTGAAACCGAATGGCTTGCTGTTGCTGTGCGGTGATGTCTGGTGTGTTTGAGCTGGTTTCTCATGCGTGTCTCTCCGCAGACGGCGCTGATCTCCCGTCTCACGTGAGTCAGATGAACGGAGTTCTGCGCTTCAGTACAGTGACCCGCGCCGATAGAGGAAACTACACGTGTGTGGCGTCCAGCAGCGCGGAGGGAGAGATACGAGCGCACGTCCATCTCACTGTAGGAGGTGTGTGTGTTAGATTTGAACGCTGTGGTTGATCATGAGGTCATGTGAGTTGTTCCACACACACTGACACACTCACGTCCGTCTGTGTGTTTTGTCAGTTCACGTGGAGTTTAAGCTGCATCTGTCTGTCTTACTGCGTCTGCCTGTCTCACTCCACCTGTCTGTCTGTGTCTCTGTCTGTCTCACTCCATCTGTCTGTCTCACTACACCTGTCTGTCTCACTGCAGCTGCCTGTCTCACTGCGTCTGTCTGTCTCACTCCACCTGCCTGTCTGTGTCTCTGTCTGTCTCACTCCATTTGTCTGTCTCACTACACCTGTCTGTCTCACTGCAGCTGCCTGTCTCACTGGGTCTGTCTGTCTGTCTCACTCCATCTGTCTGTCTTACTGCGTCTGTCTGTCTGTGTCTTTGTCTGTCACTGTCTGTCTCGCTGCACCTGCCTGTCTCACTGCACCAGTCTTTCTCACTGCGTCTGCCTGTCTCACTGCATCTGTCTGTCTCACTGCGTCTGTCTGTCTCACTGCACCAGTCTGTCTGTGATGTCTGGTGTGTTTGAGCTGGTTTCTCATGCGTGTCTCTCCGCAGACGGCGCTGATCTCCCGTCTCACGCGAGTCAGATGAACGGAGTTCTGCGCTTCAGTACAGTGACCCACGCCGATGGAGGGAACTACACGTGTGTGGCGTCCAGCAGCGCACAGGGAGAGATACGAGCGCACGTCCATCTCACTGTAGGAGGTGTGTGTTTGTGTTCTGATCTGAACGCTGTGGGTGAGGATGAGTTCTTGTTCCACACACTCAGACTCATTCACTGTGTGTTTTGTCAGTTCACGTGGAGTTTAAGCTGGAGCCGGAGCAGACCACAGTCTATCAGGGTCACACGGCCGTGTTTCACTGCCAGGCGTCAGGTGACCCGCAGCCGTACGTCCAGTGGATGCTCAAAGACAAACTACTCAGCAGCAGCAGCTCCAGCAGGCCAGTGATCTCACTCCGCCTGCCTGTCTGTGTCTCTGTCTGTCTCTGTCTGTCTCACTCCATCTGTCTGTCTTACTGCGTCTGTCTGTCTCACTCCACCTGTCTGTCTGTGTCTCTGTCTGTCTCACTCCATCTGTCTCTCACTCCACCTGTCTATCTGTGTCTCTGTCTGTCTCACTCCATCTGTATGTCTCACTGCACCTGTCTGTCTGTCTGTCTGTCACTGCACCTGTCTGTCTCACTGTGTCTGTCTGTCTCACTCCATCTGTCTGTTTCACTGCACCTGTCTGTCTCACTACACCAGTCTGTCTCGCTGCTCCAGTCCGTCTCACTCCACCTGTCTGTCTGTGTCTCTGTCTGTCTCACTCCATCTGTCTATCTTGCTGCACCTGTCTGTCTGTCTCACTACACCTGTCTGTCTCGCTGCACCTGTCTGTTTCACTGCACCTGTCTGTCTCTCACATACATGATGATCCTTCATGCAGCAGATGTTGATGTGTGTTAATTATGTTTCTCCAGGTTTCAGAAGATGCCCAATGGCTCTCTGGTCATTAGTGATGTGACCACTGAGGACACGGGTGTGTACACCTGTATCGCAGGAAACACCTGCAACATCAGAGACACAGCAGCGCAGCTCTATGTCGTGGGTGAGGAACACTAACTCGCACGAGGAACATTTTAACCTGATTGGTGTGTTTTTTAAATAAATAAGGCAGATTTTAGCTTGAGAAGTCATAGTGTTCATGCACACACTCACACACAGATCATACAGTGTGTTTGTTATTTCATTTCATATTTCACATCTATTTCCATAGTGCTTTATACAATACACAGGGTTTCTGTGGGTCTTTAAAAAGTCTTAATTCGCCCTTCTACAAATTAAGGCTTTAAAAAGTCTTAAATCAGAGCAGAAAGTCTTACATTCGTAAAGTCATGGCATTAAATGTTGCATACACTGCAAAAAAAAAAAGAATTTCTTCCTCAGTAATTTTGTTTTCAGTACAAATCTAAACATCCTTTAAGTGAGTTTATGCTTAAAACAAGAGCAAATATCTGTCACCGAGGAATGAAAACTTGTTTTCACTTTGAGTCAAGTTGATTTTTCTGAGCCTGTTGGCAGATATTTGTTCTTGTTTTAATCAACTCACTTAATTTTGATCAATTTCTCATAAACGACAATTAGATGATAATCTTTAAGATTTGATTACTGATTCAGACATTTAATAAAGGTTCTGAAGGATTTAGATCCGTATTTAAGAAGTTGGAGTCATTGAAACGGGTCGATCAGTGAAGTTCAGTGTGATGTCAGACTCCTTTGAAGTGCTTAGAAACTCTGATTACAGTGACACACATTCATTATCAGTGTTACATTGTTGCCTGGCAACTGTAAAAAGCTACAATTACACTGATCAGCTTGTAGGATTAAACATTTATTCTGATTAATAATGATAAATGTAAGAGTTTATCAGATGGTTTACAGTGATTTTGCTACAGGTTTACTGTAGTGTTTTGTGATGTGTTCCTGTTCTCAGAGAAGCCTGTGCACCCGCGCAGTGAAGACGAGGATAAGAGCCAGTTTAAGATGTTCCAGACCATCGCGCTGTCGGTGGCCGTGGCCGTGGCGTACATCATCGCTGTGCTGGGACTGATGTTCTACTGCAAACAGAGACGCAAGAACAAACGGCTGCAGAAGAACCGCGCCGGAGAAGAGCCCGAGATGGAGTGTCTGAACGGTACGTGTGTGTCATCTAGACTGAGATCATCTAGACTAATCAACCAGCTGATATCTGCCTGTTTTGAGATATATGTCTCTTATATGTAGTGACTGTTCAACCTTGTCATTTCTAATACTTCCCAACAGTCTTGTCATTAGGCACAAGTTCTGTTTTCACACATTATTTAGAGATGTTTGCGAAGAGTGTGTTTGTGTTTCCTCTAGGTGTTCAGCTGAATGGCCACAGGATGTCTGAGATCCAGGAGGAAGTGGCTTTAAGCAGCATGAGACCTTCAGCAGACTCAGAGAAACAGCAGAGCTGCGGTGACAAGCTGCACTTTCCCAGAGCGCACCTGCAGACCATCACCTCACTGGGTAATGAATCATCAAAAACAGAACCAAACTCACTTCAGTTCACGTTTAGAATAATAATCATTTAAAAGATTTTACAATATGATGATATTTGCTTCTTGATTTAGGATATTACTTAAAGAAATCACATCATATTCATTTATTAAAGGGATAAAATTAAAATGTGCTGAAAATGTGTGGTTGTTTCTGTATCAGGTTTGTAGAAATGTAGCACTGCATCAGTGTCTCAGCAATGGATGCTCTGCAGTGAATGGGTGCCGTCAGAATGAGAGTCCAAACAGCTGATAAAAACATCACAATAATCCACAAGTAATCCACAGCACTCCAGTCCATCAGTTAACATCTGGAGAAGACAAAAGCTGAAACAAATCCAGCATTAAGACGCTTTTAACTTTAAAGCATCGCTTCTGGCTAAAATATGAGTCCATAATCCATAATAACGCTTCCTCCAGTGAAAAAGTGCATCTGCTGTTGTCTCTCACATCAAAATCCAGCCACATATTTACATATTTAAACGCTGCTTGATCTGTGCAGATTTCTCTCCTGATTCACACCAGAACACTTTTTCACTGGAGGAAGAGTTATTATGGATTATGGACTCAATGTATTTTAGTTAAAAACGTCTTAATGCTGGATTTGTTCCAGCTTTTGTCTTCTCCAGATGTTAACTGATGGACTGGAGTGCTGTGGATTACTTGTGGATTATTGTGATGTTTTTATCAGCTGTTTGGACTCTCATTCTGACGGCACCCATTCACTGCAGAGCATCCATTGCTGAGACACTGATGCAATGCTACATTTTTTCCACAAACAAAAACATGTACAAACACTTTACACCTGAAAACGGTGAAGAAAAGTGACATTAGTGAAGAGAAGAGATCTGATGAAGGACATTCAGTGTTCTTTGGGTTTTTCCTCCAGTCCAGTAATGATAATCTTCCTCTTCGTTTGCAGCATTTTATGATGCATCTTCAGCATAACGGCTGTTTTCACAGACAAAAACTGCAGCATCCTCCTGCCTCTCACAAACACCATTTCTCACATATAAAGCTGTTACTTCGGCTGCAGATGTTTTCAGTGCTGAACTCCTGATGAGCATCAGATTCTCCTCAGACTCACGCCGTGCTGATCTTCCTCAGTCAGTGTGTGAGATATAGGTCACTCAGTCGTGCCCTTCCTAGAGTCTAAAAAGCATGAAAGTTTCCTAGACAACCAGCAGAGCTTCAGTGATTAGACGGGATCCACTGGATGAGTGGATCACAATCCGTCACGTCTGGAAAATCAGGAACATCCCTCACTCAAAAAACCAGGCTGGACGTCTAGTAGATCATTATAAAGCAGCGCATGTTCCTTTAAAACATGTCGATATGTAAGTCTGGATTATGTCTCGTCCCAGCAAACAGGCAACGTTCTCTCAATGTTACGAACAAACGTTCTTCCAGTAACTTTAATAGAATGTTTGTCTCTATAATAGTTTTTGGTCTATAATAATGTTCTCAAAACATTAGCACAAAATTCATTCATGGAACTTTTTTATCTAACTGATGGACCTGATGGACTGGAGTGCTGTGGATTACTTGTGGATTATTGTGATGTTTTTATCAGCTGTTATTCTGACGGCACCCATTCACTGCAGAGCATCCATTGCTGAGATGTGTGTGTGTGGGTGTGTGTGTGTGTGCAGGTCGTGGTGTGTTCGGCGAGGTGTTTCTGGCTAAAGCGAGGGCGATAGAGGAGGCCGAGCCGGAGACGCTGGTGCTGGTCAAGAGTTTAGAGAGCCGAGAGGAAACGCACCGAACCGAGTTCAGACGAGAGCTGGAGATGTTCAGCAAACTCAATCACGCTCACGTCGTACGACTGCTGGGAATCTGCAGAGAAACCCAACCTCATTACATGATCCTGGAATATGTGGATCTGGTACTAAACACATTCAAATCCTTTATTAATATATATGCAACATGCACTCTTATATTTTAATTAGTTTGGCTTGTGTACACACAGAACACACATTTATGTGTGCTAATTCTCTTTCACTTAATTAGCAGTATGAATAATATAAATCAGCATACACACCGTTTCTGTTTGAATGTATCAATCCTGCACACTTCTTAAAGGAACACACCACTATTTTTGAAAATAGGCTCATTTTCCGACTCCCCTAGAGTTAAACAGTTGAGTTTTACCGTTTTCGAATCCATTCAGCCGATCTCTGGGTCTGGCGGTAGCACTTTTAGCTGTATCTTAGCATAGATCATTGAATCTGATTAGACTGTTAGCATCTCGCTCAAAAATGACCAAAGAGTTTCGATATTTTTCCTATTTAAAACTTGACTCTAGTTACATCCTGTACTAAGACCGACGGAAAATGAAAAGTTGCGATTTTCTAGGCCGATATGGCTAGGAACTATGCTCTCATTCCGGCGTAATAATCAAGGAACTTTGCTGCCGTAGCAGGAGTGCAGCAGGTGCAATGATATTACGCAGCGCCTGAAACTAGTCCCCAGCACGCTCCCTGTGCAAGCAGGTGGTCACGTTGGTTATGTTGACAGAAGTTAGCCTGTTTTCAGGCACTGCGTAATATCATTCCTTTTCCTAATTTGGTGTTCCCAATCAAAAATGACAGGCCTACAAGAAACTGCTTATAAATCTCTCATTATGCTGTATTATCACCAAATCTCGGATTCAATCTTTTTGTTGAATTGTTTTCTTTCATTTAGCACAGGGTTTGTGTTTCTTTTTGGAGCTGATTGATCACAGGCCTCATTGACCTGAGTTTATGCACCTCAGTTTTTGAGTGAATATTGCCAAAAATTATGCACAAATAATGATTTTTCACTCTAAAACTGAGCTCAGATCAATGAGGCATGCGAAAAATCAGTTCCAAAAAACAAAACCTGTGCTGATTGACAAAAAATAAGTTAATAAAAATATTGAATCCAAGATTTGGTGATATTATAGAATAATGAGACATTTATAATCAGTTTTTGTAGTGGGGAAAAAATCCCCCAAAAGTACAAAAAATATAAGTCAGTAAGTTTTAGTCCAATGCTTTAACATTTACTTGCATTTTCAGGAAAAATAAAATCCTCTCTGGGTCAAAATGACCAGAACATTAATATCACAATATTTTACTTTATTGTCTTTATAAGCAACATTGCGGTCAATCGAACTTCCTCAGGATTTATCCAGTTTTTCATGTCTGTATTAGACTTTTATCTGATGCACCTACGTATGATGATTTTCTGTTTGAATGTACAGTGCGTTCATATCTGTTTATGATGTAGTAAAGTGTGTCCGTGTTAATAGTGAAGTCGTGCTGATGTGAGTGCTTTTCTCGTGTTTTTCAGGGCGATCTCAAACAGTTCCTCAGGATATCAAAATGCAGTAAGGCAGACGTCTGGGCGTTCGGGGTGCTGATGTTGGAGGTGTTCAGTCTGGGCGAGCTGCCGTACCCCGCGCTTAATGACCACCAGGTGCTGGAAGGTGAGCAGACGTGTGACGTCACATGACCTGAACTGTGTGATTGAGAGAGTCTGTCTCCGTCATCAGTCCTGTCAGTGTATATTGATCATATTGATATCAATCAGGACAGTGTTTGTTCACAAAATCGCCTGCCAATGACGTCATAACCCCTCGATTTCCGGTTTTGTTTTGTAGAAAACATGGAAACACCAAAGACGCTTTAATATGTTGTGTGTTTTAATAGACCGGTGACGACCGCACAGAGTAGCATTATAACAGAACTAAATGTATCTAGTATGATAAAACAGCGCTGCTTTACCCCACATACGCACGACCGGAAGCAGCGGAAGCGCTCGACTGTGGCATAATAAAAGCTCCGCTGCTTTCCAGCCGTGTGTCGTGCTCGTTCAGCGCCTCGTTTCACTTCGACGGCTTTCAGCCTCACTCTGTGTGGATTGCATCGGCTGTGGGGATGAAGACCACAACTCCCATGATTCCACACTCAGTCACGGCCTCATCTAACTATGCCTTTGTCTATTTGTTTATTTTGAATACGCGCCCTCTAGTGGCGAAAATTACATATTGTGCCTTTAAATTTGGGGATGGAACACCAGGAATCATGAGTCATGACACATTTATCCCAATAGATTGCTTATGATCGGCTGTTATGACTGTTATGATTTAAGACAATGGGTAACACTTTATTTCGATAGTCCACTTTAGACATTCTACTAACAGTAAGTAACTTTGCAACTACATGTCAACTAGCAGTTAGTAGAGTATTAGTAGACTGTCTGCTTAATATCTTCTAACACTTTCTTTGTCAACTTATTCTACTAACCCTAAACCTACCCTAACAGTCTACTCTGAGAGTTAGTAGACATGTAGTTGACATGTAGTTACAAAGTTACTTATAGTTAATAGAATGTCTAAAGTGGACTATCGAAATAAAGTGTAACCAGACAATGTTTACTTCATGGTGTTTATATTGTCATTTATTGTAGATGGTTGTGGTTATTTTATTTCTTTCATCTGTTTGAGTGAGCAGCCGGAACTAGTAAATCATAGACATTTCAAAATAAGAGTCCTGGTGAATTTTGGGCTTAAAGTTTATGATTAAATGTCCTGCATTATACATAAAATCTTTTTTTCTGGATATTATTGACATTTTGGTTACACAGTAAACTGTAATTGGCATTTAAATCAATGTAAACCCTTGTATTTTCTCTCTGAACCACCTGTCACATGAAAGAAAGACTAAGAACATTATTTAACACATTTAATATAGAGATTTAGCTAGTATCGGCACAATAATCTTAATTAATCTTTATTAATCAGTTTATTTATCGATTTATACCTTCATTGAAACACATTATTATCATATCAGCAAAATCCAATATCAATAAACCTCTAATTCATATGTATTAATGTATTAGTACATAAACATATGTAAATATTGAATTAAACATATCTTGAGTATTTCATCGTTTTGCAGTTGAACTTGCTCCAGCCTGTTTAATGAAGTAAAAGAATTTAAGAAACCTGATTGATTTTGATTTATTTGACCTGATTTATTTATTAGTGCAGGTCTTAAAAAGGTCTTAAATTTGATTTTAAAAACTGCAGAAACCTTGAGTTTAGCAGATGATCGTTGTAGGATCATCATAAAATGGTCAATCTCTGACCTTCAGATGTCATTTGAAGGCTTTATGGTCAGACAGATAGATGGATGTTCATGATGTCAGTGTCAGTTGTTGACCTTTTAATGTCTTAAAATCTCTTGAACGAATGTCAGTTGATGAAGTGTCTCGTGTGTCTTGTGTGTCTATCTATGTCTCATGTGTGTCACTCTCTCTCATGTGTGTCTCGTATGTCTCATGCGTGTCTATGTCTCATGTGTGTCTTGTGTGTCTCTCTGTCTCGTATGTGTCTCTCATGTTTTTGTCTATCTGTTTCATGCGTGTCTCTGTCTCGTGTGTGTCTCATGTGTGTATCTCTGTCTCATGTGCCTATCTGTGTCTCGTGTGTGTCTCTCTGTTTCATGCATGTCTCTGTGTCTTGTGTGTCTCATGTGTCTCTCTGTGTCTTGTGTGTGTCTCTGTGTCTCATGTGTGTCTGTCTCATGTGTGTCTATCTGTGTCTTGTGTGTCTCATGTGTGTCTCTCTGTCTCGTATGTGTCTCTCATGTTTTTTTCTATCTGTTTCATGCGTGTCTCTGTCTCGTGTGTGTCTCATGTGCCTATCTGTGTCTCGTGTGTCTCTCTGTTTCATGCATGTCTCTGTGTCTTGTGTGTCTGTCTCGTGTGTGTCTCTTTCATGCGTGTCTCTCTGTGTCTTGTGTGTGTCTCTGTGTCTCATGTGTGTCTGTCTCATGTGTGTCTATCTGTGTCTTGTGTGTCTCGTGTGTCTCTCTGTCTCGTATGTGTCTCTCTTATCATGTTTTTGTCTATCTGTTTCATGCGTGTCTCTCTGTCTCGTGTGTGTCTCATGTGTGTATCTCTGTCTTGTGTGTGTCTCTGTGTCTCATGTGTGTCTGTCTCGTGTGTCTATCTGTGTCTTGTGTGTCTCATGTGTGTCTCTCTGTGCCTCGTGTGTGTCTATCTGTGTGACTCTCTGTGTCTCGTGTCTCATCTGTGTCTTGTGTGTCTCTCTGTTTCATGTGTGTCTCTCTGTGCCTCGTGTGTCTCATGTGTGTCAATCTGTCTCATGGTGTCTATCTTTGTCTCGTGTTTGTCTATGTCTGTATCGTGTGTCTCATGTGTGTCTCTCTGTGTTTCTTGTGTCTCTTGTGTGTCTATCTGTGTCTCATGTGTGTCTCTCTGTTTCATGCATGTCTCTGTCTTGTGTGTCTCGTGTGTGTCTCTTTCATGCGTGTCTCTCTGTGTCTTGTGTCTCTGTGTCTCATGTGTGTCTATCTGTCTTGTGTGTCTCATGTGTGTCTCTCTGTGCCTCGTGTGTGTCTATCTGTGTGACTCCCTGTGTCTCGTGTCTCATCTGTGTCTTGTGTGTCTCTCTGTTTCATGTGTGTCTCTCTGTGCCTCGTGTGTCTCATGTGTGTCAATCTGTCTCATGTGTGTCTCTCTGTGTTTCGTGTGTCTATCTGTCTTGTGTGTCTCATGTGTGTCTCTCTGTGCCTCGTGTGTGTCTATCTGTGTGACTCTCTGTGTCTCGTGTCTCATCTGTGTCTTGTGTGTCTCTCTGTTTCATGTGTGTCTCTCTGTGCCTCGTGTGTCTCATGTGTGTCAATCTGTCTCATGTGTGTCTCTCTGTGTTTCGTGTGTCTATCTGTCTTGTGTGTCTCATGT